TTTTTTTAAAAAAGTTTCTTCTCCCACCCCTCATTCCAAATTGTGGAAAACCAAAGCAATTCGAGAACTATTCCTGCTCCATTTGTGTGAGCAGATATTTTCATGGTTAAACAAGAAGCAATTACCTTTGCTCTAGTTCACTGTCAGATGAATAATAATTTAAGTTTTTGTGTTTTCCTAAAATGGCATATCTAATATAAAATCTTAGTGAATGGTTGTAAAGCTTGATAGAGGTGTATTTAGGCTGTCATCACACAGCTCCTTCAAAACAAATTTAATATGAAAGATTATCTGCCCATACATAATTTATTTCTGTTCTGAAAATTGAAGTACTCTGCTTGATTTAGTGACAGATTGCTGGTGACGGGGGTACGTGGATCATTTTACATGGCTTGAAAACTGAACTACCACAAGATGATGTTGCTTCTTGGAATGATTATGATGATGATGATAGCATGATAACCTGCCAAAAGAAAGTACCTCATTTAAGAGGTGTTTCATGAACTACCATGCCTATTGAGGTGCAATCACAGCATCCTTCTTGAACAAATCCTGCTAGGTCCATGTAGAGGAATAACTTTCAGAACGGGAATTGCTTCAGTGTAAATGTCTGATTCATTGATAACCAGTGCCTGATTGAAATGGCTGACTCTGTGGTCCAGATATATTTTAAACATGTAAAGATAACTCTCCCTGGTAATCAAACAGGTTTTAGATGATCTTACAAAGCAGGGAAAAGTACTACACTTGTGACATCCAATTTTTGCACTTTTGGTGTAATCTCTGAAAGAGGAACTTGCAGATTTCAACAAAGATGTGTCAGTTTCAGTGCAGGAAAAGATCATATTATATACAGTAAATATGGGTATAACAGATTTTATATGGGAAGCAATGCCAATTAGAAAGGAGCAGGAGGGCCACTTGGCCTGGCACATGAGCTCAAAGGGGACTTCACATTGAAAAAAGTGCTGTTTTTCTTACATGAAAAATATTAAATTTATGCTCACTATTTTCATGCCTTGTTTTGTCATGTTTTGTACTTTTCAGCTGCTAATTACTGTGTTTTCTGATTTTTGCTGACTTATAATAAAATGCACCTAATATTATTTGTATGCTCATTGACTTTGGAAATAGAGATTCTGAACAAACTGTATATTTTTCAATATAAAATATATGTGAAATTAACCAATAATGGTTATTAACCTACTGATATCCATTTTAATGCTTCTTTTTCAAACTATCCCACACTGCTCAATAGACTAATGAATATATCAGGCTTTGATGTTGATTGCATCAGTCAATTTCTTCTTGATTCCAGCAGTTGTTTAATTGTGCAGAAATATATACTACAGTACATAGATGCACTCACTCAGAGGTATATTCTTTGTCTGAAAGAATGTAATGAATTGCAGAAGGGTTTTTTTCTCCAGATAGTTGCCAAAGTGTAACCTTATGAAAAATGTTGTCAGCTTGATTTTGGAAATGATGTAACCTAGAAACCTAACACTTTGAGATGCAGTGTCTTTATAGGGAATAAATGGGAATTGTTTTGATAGTTTTCAAGACTGAATGCAATTTTCTTGGCAACAAATTACACTGTCAGGTTTTTAGCTGAGTGAAGAGCAGTAATTTGTGATTTTGAATTTGATCTACTGCAGAAGAAAATTACACAAAATTGGTATTGTGCAGATAAATAAGTAAACAGGTGATGAAAAGTGAACCTTATGGCATATGTCCCATTCAGGTCAGAATTCAGTAGCTGTAAGGATCAGATGTACGATAGGAAGGCAGTCCTGCAAATCTCAATAGTAAAGGAATATTGTATTTCTGATTCCATTATGGACATTTTTATAAATTGAAAGATAGTAAAGTGTAAGACTTTGATGCATTGCCCCCACTTAGATGGCAGATTGTGTGAAAATGCTGGCAACTGAATTATAGTTCTTTGTCAATATGTCTTTTTTCTTCACTGAAAATGTATATTAGCTGAACACATAGAATGTAATTAGAACAATGCTAATTATGACCATAGAAATCCAGGTTCAGATCTTTAATCAATTATGAGGCTTCACTAGATAGTTTTCACCCTTGTTGCCTCTCATCTTAACCTATCTTCTAGGGTTGCTGTGAAGTTATGAAAGTAAAAAGCATTTTCTGCATTGCAAAATATTGTAGAAATGATACCCATAATAATTACTATGATAAAAAAATCTAGTGCACAATTTTGAACCATTACCATGGCATTCTAAGCTATGGTTTTCAAAATGGCTTAAACCTTCATTTTATGAATGATTTGGAAAGGGCCATTTGGGCCATGAGGCCCGTCTCCCTGCTTAGTGCAGCCATGGAAACTTAACAGGTGACAGATTCAGTCATTTTCTTAATTCTGGGCTGTTATGCGAATAAAAATGAAAGGAAACCGTCATTTAAGGTGCCTTGGACTCCTGGAGAAAAGGCAAGATACAAAGTAACAAACCCCCCCCCTCACTGCTGTCATCACTGTCACCATCTAATTTCTGCTTACATTTATTTAATCACTGTGGGCCATTTGCTGAATTCATAGCATTTGAGGTTCGCTTGTAGTTTTGACATTTTTGACCATGCTGATCCTGTAGGTGGTGGCCTTTGTTATAGGAGTCAGCCGTTGTCCAGCTCCTTTTCATGTTATTATCTCCATCTTAGATTACTGAAATGCAGATTGCATTTTGGGTGATCTAAAATGATTGGTGGGAGAAGTGGCAAACCATCCCACCAGGGTCTCTTAAAGTCCTAGGGTGGCATAGTTCATCACAACAATTCATGATAAGCTATATTCTGGCTTAGCTTCTGATAGAAATACTCAACTTCTGGAAATGCTCACTTATGTGTTAGATAGGTTTTAAGGTTCAGAATGATGTAGTAGAAGTAATTTGTTAAAAAAGAACTCATGATTCAAACCAAAAGCTTAAAACCATTGACAATGGGATTATATTTAATACTTAACAAAAAGAGTTCAACATTCAACTTAACTGTACATTAATCTTTTATACATCAGAATGATCTGGTGCCAAGAGAAAGAAAAGGATTTAAATGTTGAATAAGATTTCACATTCTCAATGCTCTCTAGGTAAAGTAATTACATAAATTGACATAGCTATGAATAACATACTATGAATATTTAACGTATTTGAGAATAAGATTTAAGTCTATAAATGAACAAAATGCCAGTCATAGCACTTTAGATCTAAAGTGCTCTAATCTGTTGTGTAGTTTTATCTACACTGAACCTCTTTTAGTTTCAAACATTTTTAGAGTGGTACCCTTGAATGACTGCATTTGTAATTTTTGTAGTAAACTTTAATGTCTGTTAACTTTCTAATGAATACATAAAATGACTGATGGATGTTTTGGAACAAGCACCATTTCCATTATTTAATTAACTATTGTTTTTTCCCTAATGGATTTCTAGAAATCAAACACAATAATATTGGATCAATGGAGAAATGTGAATCTCCTCCTTGATCTCCAGACCACACGATGGCCCCTGGATCTAATAATATTTAGCATCTATAGAGTAGTCTCTGAAGGTTCAGATTGAACCTTCACTGAATTTCCTGCAACCTGTTTGTAAGGTAGTCCACGGTAAGATCTGCAGGTGGTAAGGCATGCACAGCTTCTACAAGCATATCAAACGAATCATCCAGACTCGAAAGTATTATACATACTTTTTGATTCTCGGGAAGCTGAATATTACGATCTGCCAACTCAGCAAACATAGTTTTCATCTTGTTCAGATGCTCAATCACATT